GAGGATACGGCAGCCCTGACCTCTCTGCCTTCCCTCCAGGCTCCCCGCATGCTGCCCTTGAAGTACCAAGCAGGACTTGGAGCTTGCGGGTGCCACCGGGGACCTCGGGGTGTAATTCTGGTAGCCTGGCCCCATTTCCGTGCAGCTGCAATGGACATCCCGCAGGGCACGGGGCCGTGCAGCGCAGCGAGCAGCGTCTGCAGCGCAGAGGTGCAGGGAGTGCTCGCGAGGAGAAGAGGCTGTTTGYGGGCATAAGGAGACCGTGTGTCGTGGCTTGGAGCAAACTCTCCGACTCTAAATATGAATCTGTTAGTTGGTGCCATATCATGAAGGAACCCCTGCTGTGAGCTCATCTTTCATGGAAAGAGCCATTCAAGACTCGCATTTGCATGTGCGGAATTTCTCAGCTCTCAAGGTTATGTGACAGTCGTCCATCCTGTGCTCCTAAATATGAGTGTGAAAAAGGAGACTTCTTCCCAAAGAAAGCATGGCCCTCCTGGGAGGCAGGGGGCTGCTTCGTTGTGGCACCTTTCCCAAAAGGTGGGAGAAGCCGCCTGTGGCAAGATCCATGTGGATCGCGTGGTTCTTCCCATGTGCCCAGCGTGCAGGATGAGCAGAGCGCGAGCACGTGCCTAGCGGGACGGGGACGTGGTGCAGGGGCAGCCGCAGCTCCAGGCTAGGCTGCGGGAAGGGCTCCTTCCACTGCTGGGGAATAGACCCTGGCTGGTCTCTTTGCGCTGTAAATAGATCAAACGGCCCAAGAGCATGATGAGAAATATCCTCAAACTCATCCAGAGAGAGATTTTCAGCATAAAAGGCTTTATATGACTTGTAAACCATGACATTTACTTCTGCACGTGCAGTAAATATTTCCCCGTCTGAATGTCTAAGCAATGCAGTTTTGTTTGAAGTCCCCATTTGTTTAAGTCTGCAGCCGACAATAATTCACCTGTTTTTCCTTCCCATGATTCCCCAAGCAATTGCGTAAGCCAAAATCGAGCAAACTCAGCGCCTGCTCTTTGTCACTTGTCAGCTCCAGACCTCAAATATGCTCAAATGAGCTTTGTCTTGGAGTTTACGTTTGGGGCGCTTCCTAATCTCTCTCCGGTGGTAAATGGCCCCGTGTGTTCCTTTCCAGAGGAAGAAATACAGCGTACCTGCGTATAGCCACRGCCAAGGCAGACAGGGAAAAGAGACATAACTTAATTTAACTCCAGATAAATCATAATTTCGCAGTGATCTGCCTGCCACAGGCAGTTGTGTGGCCCATCTCCTTGGCGCTGTAACAATACCTGTCGCTCAGCGTCCCAAAGAAACCTGCTCACGGCCAGAGATCATAAATGAATGAGAAGACGCCTGGAGTTGTAAACACCATCAGTCTGCAGAAAACAAACGCCCCTGACAGCTGATCTCAGGTGAGGCCTTTTTGCTCCAGAAGCCCACAGCAGCGGTTTCCTCCGCGGGCAATAGACTTGCCCACATGTTCTGCAGATTCCCAGCTTCAGTTCTGCATYGTTCCCATTGCAACCAAAAGCTCTCAGCTCCTCATCCTTCCTTGTGTGAGGAAGGGGCTCAGGTCCTGCTGGCTCTTGGAGGCAAATTAACCCCTGTGGWGGTTGTCACTCGTGTGTGTGCATTGGTGGCATTGGCACGGCCCTTCACACTGCTCCTTTCCTGCAGCTACGTCCCTCACCGGTGCGCGTGGTGACACTAACCCTAATGCTTCTGCTGCTGGGGTTCCCCTGCCTCTGCGGCGCTTTTTGGCTCTTGCAGGTGAAGCCGCCTTGCTGTTCCGGTGAGTTGTAGCTGTCTCCACACGTTTGGTTTGAAAATGACCCCTGGATGCACATTCAGCACCCAGAGATGTGATCTTTCCTGGCCTGTGTTCGTGAAGTCGCTTTGTTCCTCGTTGCTGCTTGTCTGCACTGCCCGCAGCTGCATCGGGCTCCGGCTGCAGGGGACGACTGCCTGGAGGTGAAGGCAGCACGTACCAACTTAGATTTGGTCCCTGTCCTGCGACTGACCGTCTCTGGGACTCTTGGAGCTGCTGTGTCTCCCTTGCCCACCTACGAGTGCCGTTAATCCTGACGCTCCCTCCTGGCGGTGCAGTTGGTACCGCGTCTGCCACCCGGAACGTGACGAGGCCACGCAGCTCGTGTCTGCAGTCGTACTTTTTCTGCAGCGTTTGTGCTACAGCAGCGCCGGGACTTTCCTCGGAGGCACCAGCGGGGTTGTTCTGGAGATTGACGTTGATAATCTCCCGCAAGCCTCTCCTGTAGCTCTGGAAAGCCCGAGGAAGCTCATTGCCAGTCTTCCCCCAGGGAAAGAAAGGCACAAACCCCAGCGGTGCTTTTGTGGCCCTGGGGTGGGAGCTCCCGGCACAACATCCACCAGCCCTGGCGGAGACACAAATCCCGCATGCCAGGACATCCCATTGGGAATGTCGGGTGTTTGTGGAGCAGATGGGGAGCCTCTCACTGCCATCCYGGCAGCGCATTCCCAGGGATGGAGCCTGGCTTGGCCACCTCCGCTCYGCATGGGTGGCTGCCGCGTGCCCGCAACGGAGCCGCGTGGCACGTTTGCACCCTAACACACACAGGCTGCTTCCCTTTCCAACTGCCTCTTTCTTCCTTTTTTCTTTTTATCCTTCCTTTTTTTTTAAAAAAGGAAACTGCATTCAAGGTCACCGCATAACGATGGCGATATTATTGTAAGTAGTTATTTCTATTTCAATAGCTCTACGAGGCAGAGATCAGAGTCCCACTGGATTAAATGCAGCACGTACTATAAAAGAAGACAATCTTGGTGCCAAACAACTTGCAGTTGTTGTCTTAATGTAAGGAATATAAAATTAAGATTACCATAGCAACACCTCACATTGCATATAGATATGATTTATCAGTTATACGTGTGTATATGTATATAACATATATATATAAACCCCTAAATATCTCTGACAACTTTTTTCACTGCCAARTTTGTATTTAAAGTACTCTGTATGTTAAATCTGCATTTTGTTTTTTAAATATACTCAAGCCAGTTAAACTTCAGAATTGACTTTAAAGCTCCAAACATGCTGGATTGCAGGCAAATGGGGTGAACCTGAGTTATGCAATTCCCTTTTTTCCTCTGCTTTCTRTCTCTTTCCTCTAAAGTTAATGGTCAACTTTAAGTAAAATTTCACGTTAGTTACAAACCACAGCTCTCATTTCTCAATATTCACATAAAACCTGAGACTAGCAATATCAGTAGAAGTAGGAGAGCACGTCCAGTATGGAGGGAACAGAAGTAAAGGCAGCAGGGGAACAAAAGGTGCTAGAAATCAGTGTTGCTTAAATTCTCAAAAAAAGCCGAAGAGATTTAAGCACAGTTTTCCCCTTGTCATGAAGGTAAGTGGAATTACTGATGAAGAAGATTTTTTTAAAAATTGCTGCATCAGGTGAACTTTGGCTTACCTACTATCAGGTCCTAGGAGGAAAAGCAGGCATCAAGCTGTGCTGAAGATATCTGAAGAACGTCGCTCCCTTGGATTGAATGAAATGTCTGAGAGAACCTAGCTCTTGTGGAGAGTGGGGAAACTTATGGATCGTTGATAACACATTTGAGACTGCTGAGTTTAACACACACAGTTGGAGGGCTGCTGGATTTGCTGTTTTGAGACCAGACTGTAAAGGAGATCTGRGAACCAAAACTGAAAACGTCTGCTGGCACAACTTGATACAGAAGCCAGGAAACATTGCGAGTTTGCCAGGCTGCTGTTTTCTGAGTCTTCTAACTTAGCAACATTAAATAAACAGAAATTAATCACTGATAGCTCTGCTCGCAGATCCTAGCAGGAAGATAAAACAGCTTGGTTGAGGTGGGACAGCAAGCCGTGCTCTCCAGTGGGTGTGTGGAGAAAAAAGTGGAAATTTGAGGAAAGTATCAGCAAAGTGTAGCAGGGTGAGCATTCAAAGAGGCTGGAGCGGAAGCCAAAACTGGCCAAAACACTGACTCTTCACTGGACAGAACTACTCAATTGACATGAATTGATACCATTTAGCAGAGCCTGCAAAAATGCTACAGAAATTAGGCATGCATATTTAATCCTCTGTAACGGAAGAGTTCTTAATGAAGCTGCTGAAGGGAGAGCCACTCTCACCATGTGAATGAGCATGAATGAAACTTGTCACATGCGTGTGGGATGTTGGTAACCTTCCAGTAAAGGATTTAAAGAACGTAGCCAGCTGATGTTAAAATGGACAGGTAAAAATTGGACCACACGACAGGGAATGTGTTGAAAATTAGCAGATGTCCATAAGCTCATCAATCAAAAATGTAAAGTGAAAACTAAAAAATGGGCACTTAACCTGTTGGTAAGTAAACCAGGAATCTATCTTTCATGACTGAGAGGAGCCATGTAAAGACAAAAGACTTTCCTCCACAAAAGGAAGCTCCACAAAAGGGTCGTGGATTTGCCCTGGTGGCAGGAGCCAGAAGTTGGGTTGTGCTTGTGGCCATGGACCCACTCCCTGTGTGCCCAGGTCCCAAGTTTGGGAGGAGCCAGCAAAGCCTGCAGGGAAGGGGCTGAGCAGAGGCTACGCTGTGCCGTGCTCTGCAAGGCCAAGGGCAGAAGGCAGCAGCTCCCACATGGATGGCTACATGTGGCCCACATGTGGCTCCCATCCACAGCAGGATGGGAGCTGCTTTCCTTAACCTGGCTGGTGCTGAGTACCATGGACATGCTTTGGCAAAGTCCCTTTGGTGGCTGTGGCAGTGCTGGGGATGGAAAAACCTGCACGTTCCTCTCCTTCTGTGGGAACATTTGGAGGGGTGCGTGTTGCTGACAGGCAACCGAGCTTGGCACCATGGCTTCGGCACCAGCTTGCTGGGACCCTGCTGTTAACATCTCGTTCCTTCCAGGGCTCCAGGATGTGGTTGCGAAGGGCCACGCTCCTGCCCTCAGTGCTGCTGTGTCGGGGATGATCTCCACCACGCGCTACGCCGTTTATTTCCCTTGACCTCTGCATTTCCATCAACTGCATCTAAGTAAGTCTGCCATAAAGAATGAAGTCGGCTCCTGCTACTCCTACTTATGCTTTCACAGAGCAATTTGTACGGGGCTGYCGAGCTCTCCTCTCATGAGCGACAGGAAGAAGCAGTGCCTCTCATAAGAGGAAACCTCTCCGCTAACTGCTGGATCCGAGCTTGCCGTTTCCCATTATAAGGATGAAGCAAACCAGGAGCTTGCTAATGGCTGYGGGTAATTATTGCTGCAAGTGTGGAGGTGCTGCTCAGTGCAGAACAAAAGCCCAAAGTGCTGAGCAAAGCGTGTTGTCAGCATCCTCTGGCACTGAGTGAAAGCCTCCGTTTTTATTCTTTCTTAGGACGTGTAATTCTGTTCCTTGCACAAGGAAAGCGTCGCAATCTCTGCCTTCCAGTGGGAGTCGATGGCCAACAGGAAAGAAGCAAATTCAACAGTCAAGTGGCATTACCTGTGAATCTCTGCTACAGTAACAGTTTTCTTACTCAAAAAATAGAGCACTCGAGCTTTCTTTGGAGTTGCTAACCACAAAATATGTCAGTTCAGTCTTTCTAGCTTAACACATTGGGATCATTGGGATCAAAGAGTTTTGGCCTTGCCCGAGTTTGTCCTGTGGGTGTTGACGGGCTGGTTTGGAGGCCTTGACAGGAGGCAGCATTTGGCAGCGGGCAAGGGGAGAGCGCCGGGGTTCCCGGCTCGCTGCGACAACCCCGCCAGCCTCGTGTTTGTATCTCTTCCTTTGGTGTGATCATGACTTGGCAGTCATGCATCTATTGATCATTTATCATCTAAGCAGCCCAGGCAACTGTGCAGAGCAACCAAATTGCTCTGTGAGTCGGGATTTTTGGGGAGGGAGGAGGCAGTCAATAAGGTCATTTAACATAGAAAAAATCTTTCTAGGAAGTGCAGACCTGCAGTTTTACACCTGTCATAATGTGGGGCATTATTTTTGCCCTTGTTTTATATYGGCATGCATGTTTGTACCCATTTTTTTTTTTCCTGAAGCTTTAGCTAAAAAGCTAAAGTAGAAAAAGTGGAACTAGATTGCTCCAGCTGCAGGACCATGGGATTCCTTAAGATGTCATATAAAAAATATAACAATGTATTTCCTAGGTGGTAAGTAGACAGTGCTTCGAGTTTGAGTGAGTAGAGATGCTTAGCTCGGGAGGTGCGTGTCTGCATCTTGCTGTTCAGCTTGAATTCGGTTAGAAGCTTCCAGAGGAAAATGGGCCCAGCTGGAGACGCAGGGCTGGTGGGAGCAGGTTGTAGTGGGCTGTATTGGGGTGCTTGTGTCAGGGCTCGGGCCGAGAGCGAGAGCTAATGCAGTGCCCTGACGTCCCCTTGCCAGGACGGCCAGTCCCTGCAGACACAAAGAGCCRTGTTCATGTTGGTGAAAACGTTACAGGAAAGAGCTTGGGGGTGGTTTTTTTCTCTACTCGAGTGTAGAGACCACTCGAGTTCTCTACTAAAGCCCATACAAATTGCATGCATAATTCAGCCACTGCTGTATGAACCTTCCTGGCAGGAGAAGTGTTTTTTGGAAGGCACAAGCTGATCTCAGCAAACTTTGCCCCAAACATGCAACAGCCCAGAGCCCCGATCGGCGGGTTTTAAACTTCTGCCATCGCTTCCTTCCCCGATGTAAAGCGAATCTAGGTCACCCTGCTCGCCTGCGTCTGGCAGGGCTAAGTCTGCTCTCATTCATGTTGTGTCCTCGTGTGTGACATGAAAAAAAAAAAAAAACAGTTTGGGAACAGCAAGCTGGCCTCAAAGTGGTTCTTTTTAAATCACACACGTCTCTGAGCGAGGAAGTGGTTTGATGTTTTGTCCCAAGGCAGCACTGAGAGCATCATTTAACATTCGAAGTGCAGAAGGAATACAAAGTTTTCCTTCTTTCCCTTTTTTTGCTGAGATTTTCACATTAAGCTGTTGAGCTGAATGAAGGGGCGCTGTGTTTGGRACTTTTTTTGGTGATTAACAAAAAAGCCTATTCTGGGCGAGCGAGCGGTCTGCTCCGCGTGAGGCGGGCGCTGCAGCTGAGGAAGGGGAAGTGGCGGAGCACGAGGAGGCCGGTTGGCCGGGAGCGTCTCGGCGAGCGCGGTGCCCCACACAGACCYGCTTGTTTGCCGAGCTCTGCTTTGTGCCGGCGGTTCAGGGCGGGCGGCTGCATTTTCGCCTGTCTATCGCAATGCAACCGTCGGCTTTTCCCAAGGCCAGGCTTTGCTTTCGTCACGCGCAGCTGCGGTGCCCTGCCAGGAATAGCTGGGCAGAAAAGAGCCCTGGAGAGAAGAAATGAGCTGGATGTGTTTGCCGAGAACTGCAGGTGATTTGTGGTGATTCTGCACCATGGCCCATGTGCTTCGTGTGTTCAGGGATGCATTCTGCGTGCAGCAAAGTGATGGAGCAGGGAGAAACACGGGGCTGTGCAGGGGTCCCTGCATCTCTTGGCACCTGAATGGGGCAGCCAGACGTGCCCAGGTGAGCCATGGTGGTGAAGCCACCATGGGCTGTGCAACACACACCGTGCCAYGCAGAGGGACACGAGGTCGTCCCCGAGCCCTCGCAGCGGCTGTGCGGGCCGTGCAGGGMAGAGCAGAGCTGCACCACGTGGGAGCTGCCACGGGGCCAACACAAGCGGCTGYCAAATGATTTATTGGCCCCACTCCACAACTGCTGCTGCGCCTGCTGGAAAGGCCRTCACCGGAGTCAAAACCCCACTTGTGGAGGAATTACAACCCTGCCTGCCTGCTGCTCTTGCTGGAGCTAAATATGAGTCTTTGGCTTGCTGGAGGGGTGGGAGGGAGGAAGGGAGGGAGCCTCCTGCAGCAGCTTTGTTCTGTGCCTGGGGTCCARGCTTGGAGCAGGGGCTCCCTCACAGTAAAGAGGTTCTTCCCCTTATGCAGATGCTAAAATCACTGAGGTGGCATTTGCAGGGAACAGTCATCACCTTTGTGAACTTGGCAAAACTTGGTTGTCTTTTCTCAACTGACAAAATTGGCATAGCAGCTAGTCCAGCCTCATGCAAAAGAGGAGAAAACCTTCATTTATAAGCGATTCATTAAGTAGCATTAAAGCTGTCTCTGAAGACAAAATAATCTTTTTAAAGAGGACTCRAGGTACGGAGAAGGAAGATTAATGCCTCAGCTATTTTTCAATTATGCGAGCTTTCATTTGTTCCGGTACACCTGGGTTGACTCTACGGCATTCGGCCCTGCGTGCAAGGGGTGAACGGTGCTGCGCGCGGATGCTGTGATCTGCGCGGGCAAGAGGAGGAKCGACCTTGTCCCATTAGGCCTGCGAGGTGGCTGGGCACCCCCAGCGGGATATCCAGAGGGGTCATCCTATGCCAAAGGTGCTTCTCTCCCTTCCTGGCAAGTCTGGCATCTTCAAGGGGGATGAGGCAGCACCAAAAATGAGGAGTGACTTTGAGGAYGCATCTCCTGCTGGTGCTGCTCAATGATGGGAGAAAATGTTGCCTTAAATCCTTCACAGCAACAGGCATGGCCCTTTTAAGGTTCATTCTTATTGAAGTTGTTAAGCATTTCCAAAGGATGCATTTGCAAAGTGTTTGCTGTGTTAGATACAGTGCTTTGACTGTCCTCACCTTGCTTTTCTGTTCATGTATCTGCACCAAGCACACCCACCATGGCCTGGTGCAGAGGTGCTCCCAGGAGCTGACCCTCCTTCACTCGCCTTCTCTTGAGATCACACTCATGGGTTTTGTGCAGTCAAATGAGCCTCAATTCTTCCAACACTTTGTGGCTATTTTTATTTCGGTATGATTTACATCAGAGGCTCCTGTAAAGCATAATTAAGAAGGTCTTACTGATGCATCCACCTTCATTTCTTTCCCTTGCCATCGTTTCCTAGAGCGCTAGCCTTTCCTTAATTGAAGCAGTGAAGAGTCCATTTAGCAGGGAGGTGGGAGGAAGCAGCCTGAAAACTATTCATCTAAATCACTCCAGTGATGAAGACGGTTACTCACTCCATCTATCATAATTTCTGGGAAGTGTCTTACGAGAGATCGGTTGATAGAACCGTGCAGAGGTGCACATGCACGTGGAGCTATGCAAACCTACTCACCCAGGGCAGGCCTGTGCAGGGGAACAGGACTGCTTTTTGCCAACATAAGTTATGGGCAAACATCTATGAGCAAAAGAGATATCTGAATACAAAGCCATGTTTGTGTTTTCCTGCCTGGACCTTCCCTTGTCAGGTAGGTGAGCAGCAGGCTCTAGGGTGGGCACATCTCCAGCTTCCTGCGCCTGGGCCTCTGCCCATACAGCCCTGCACCCCTGCCCGCCCCTCCTGTGTGTGCTGCACACTGCCCCCCACCCACGCTATATGCATCGTGCACACCCTGCAGATGCACAACAGAGAGATGCAGATGCATGCTATATGTGTGCGCAAAATGAACACACCTGCCATGAGCACCATGCACAATGCACACACACCATGCAGCACACACCATGCAACACACCTTCCATGCTCACCATGCACACGCACCATGCACACGCACCATGCACATACCTGCCACGTGCACCATGCACATGCACCATGCATACACCTAAGGCACCGTGCAACACACACGATGCGCATGCACCACGCACACACACCATACAAGACACATCATGCACATGTCCCATACACACCATACAACACACACCGTGCACATGCACTGTTCACACACACCATGCAACGCGCACCATGCACATACCCGCCATGTGCACCATGCACATGCACCATGCATACACACCATGCACACGTACTATGCACATACACCATGCAAGACACATCCTGCGCATGTCCCATACACACCATATAACACACTGTGCGCATGCACCGTTCACATGCACCATGCACATACCTGCCACGTGCACCATGCAGCACACACCATTCATACACACCACACACCATGCACATGCACCACACACACACACCATGCAAGACACATCATGCGCACATCCCATACACACAACACACACTGGGCACATGCACTGTTCGCATGCACCATGCACATACCTGTCATGTGCACCATGCACATGCACCATGCAACACACACGATGCGCATGCACCACGCACACACACCATACAAGACACATCATGCACATGTCCCATACACACCATACAACACACACCGTGCAC